AATAAACAGCCAATATATTAATAATAGGCATGCTAATAAGCAACTACTTAATAGTGAGAATTGGCCCCTATACTAAAGTGTTACCAGAAATTCAACCAATAAATAGAGTTTTGTGTCTCTTTAATGTGTCGTGACAGATCGCTGTAGTGCCTCTCTTCCTCTTTACTAGTTATAGCACAAAATAAACATGAATGAACATCAGAAGGTATCTTGTTTCAACCGCAGTGATTAACTGGGAGGTTTCCTACGTGACATGACCTCATTTGTATTAGAATTTAGAGTCTTATCGCTAAGAGAGAGGCTCTCAGGCTCTCCTGCACATTTCTGACATGCCATGGAACTTTCTGATGGGTGGGGGGCAAACAGGGCTTCTGTCCAGGTGTGCTGTCCAGGTATTGCTGCACTCCACCCCAAATGCTTCCTGAACCTCATCCTACTCCATTTCAAAGCCCTACACCAGACTTCCCTGCTTTCTCTCTTTTTCCAGTTGCCCTGCTCTCTCTCTTTCTGTCCTGGCTGTCTTCCAAAACTCAGTGGAAACTCTGATATGAGTTGTGGTGTCATGCCTGGCCTTCCTTCCTATCGTCTCACTATTCTTCAGCCTTTATGATTGTCTTCAGAAAGGAAAAGTGGGTTGGTACACAATGTTTTTCACAACAGATGATCTTGTCCCCTTGTGTCATTTTAAAAAGCATGCATCCACTACTCAACTTCACTGCATATAGTGCTTCATATTACAAGCTGAGCATAATGACCTTGATGATGTTTGTGACACTGTATATTCTTTTAAAAGACAAATTCTTGAAAGTATAATAAAACCTAATTGTGTGGTCAAGGACATTGACAGCTCTTTGACAGCTCACTGTACTTCTAAGTGCAACAAGTAATTAATTAGTTTAAACCCCTTCATAATGGCCCCTGCAAAGCCAGACAAACCATTGGCTGAAGGTGTCCTGTTGTACATTTTAAGAAGAGTTTTTTTTTCTCTCTGTTGTTTTGATCCGGCCAGGAAACTGGCTTTTAGAGACTTTTCAGAGTACCAGAGACAGTGGCTTCTCTCTCGTTTTTCTCTCTTCTCATTTTAAGTATTTCATTAGATTCATTTCATTTTCTATTAAGCTATGGACCTCACCATAAAGCCTTTACCCTTTTCTAAAAGGCATTTCGATTATCTTAAGACCTTCTGAAAGGCATTAATAGAGTATGATGTTATGTAGAAACGATTAAAGATATCTCCCACCAACACATGACTGCACTATGTATCATCAACATTCTTACACTCCAGTTGTCTAGGCAAAAAAAATACAAATCTTGTAGGAAGCAATTTCAGCACTGACTTGGATTCTTCTGTGGCATTAGTAAGTGGGAAACCACTGCCTATTACAATAACAAAGATTTTGAAATCTAAAAATTCTGAGCACCAATTTTGGCAGAACTGTGTCTTAAGGGCAATCATGTGTGGAGTGAAAATAATGCTGTATGTGAACTGAATAATTTATTAGATCTTTTTTCATTTTTTGTTGTGCAGGAGGAAACTGAAATCCCTTCAAGTGTCTTTGTGAAGGAACCTGCACCATTACCTGAAGTGGAGGAGGAGATCCCGACCATTGATGCCAACCGTTCTCAAGAGGAGGGCCTTCAGACCATCGCCCTCTCCTCGGATGAGGAGCAGGGACCAGAAGAGGACGACGATGAAATTTTGGCCGCTTTGGACCTCGAGAGTGAAACCAGAGTTGAAAAATCTCGAGCTGAGAAGATCAAGCGCTCCAGTCTGAAGAAAGTGGACAGCCTGAAGAAAGCTTTCTCCAGGCAGAATATCGAGAAGAAGATGAACAAGATCGGCACCAAGATTGTGTCCCCAGAGAAGCGTGAGAAAATCAAGAAGAGTCTGACACCGAACCACCAGAAGAACCCTAGTGCCAAGAGCTCCTCTTTCAAGGTCTCTCCTCTCACCTTCAACATCAAGAAGAACCGCAGTGGGGATGCTGAACCAGAGGCTGAGGCCTCAGCTCAATCCGAGAGCGCCATTGCCTCCATCGAACTGGCCCCGATTGAGAGCCCAACTGAAGACCTGTCCTTCAAAGAGGTCCACTCCCAACTTGCACCAGCACAGGAGGAAGTAAAGGCAGCTGTGGAAGCAATGGAGAAAGAGGAGGTGCCCAACATCCTGAATGGCACAGCCGAGGTTGAGCTGTCGATCACAGAAGTAAGCGAGGAGTATGCTCTTTCTGCGACCCTGCCCCAGGACGCCTCCCAGATAGAGGTGTCCCACAATGCTTTACAGGGAGAGGATGAAGAGGAAGGAGAGGAGGAAAATGGAAAAGAAAGAGTGCAGAGTGAAGACAGCCCTCTAGCAGAAGCTGCAGCTGCAGGCCAAGCAGAGGGTGTTGCTGTAGGCCAAGCATCCTAATGTCCTGACCCTCCAATCCTGCCCCAGGACATCCTCCTAAGCTGAAAAAAAAAAACTCTCTCCCTTATCAGTGCCAGCCATCCCTGCCATGAACCCAGACATCTGCCCTGTCCGCACTGAATACAAACTTACAATACAGTATATTCAAAGGCAAAATACATGAAGTATATGACATTTGCTTTAAAATCCCATATCGCTGTATTAGTCCCTAGTCTTTTAGCAGAAATGAATGTGAAAGCAGTCTTATCAATTCATCTAATCCAACAGTCTGTTACAAACCTTCCGCTTGTGAGAAACTCACTCCAGCTGGTATTACTGCACACTCTGTCTTCCTCTGGTGGTGCTTACCTGTCAGCTGAGAAGGTTGGCAAAGAAAAAAAAATCGCTTATAGCCAAAGGAGTCAACGGACGCCAAGTGCACTCCATCTATCCCATGATTTTCATCCAATTCATCTCTTCTGGAATCGCCGGTGCACTCCTGAAAGTGATATTGATTTCATGCAACCTAGATTATTTCTAATCTTGGTCCAATTCGGTTTTGTTTTTGAGATTAAACAGCACATATATACTTCCATGTACTATGTCTGTGTTGATCAGAAATGTGTAATGTACTCAATTTTACATTTTGGTTTTAATCAAGTAACACTATGTATACTGTGAACTCATAAATACAGAGACCAAAAGATGTGAGAAAGCTAAGTGGGAAGTGTACTGTCCTAAAAACTAAACTAAAAATATAATTTCTGAATTCTAGAATTCTGCTAGTGATAACCTTTTGAATCTGGAATGCAGCTTATATGGGGGATCCTGATCTTCCCTGAGCTTCACATATGTCTCGGGCCCTAGTCAGAAAGCGTTCCTGCTTTTGATATATTGCTCTTTTCAGAGACCATTTCTCAAGCTCCCGTTGGCTTGATGCTGGCTGAGAAACAGGCACTGTGAGGCAGGTCTAGATTACAGGCATATTTCTGAAAGTGATGAAGGAGACGATCAGCCCAGTTGGATGCAAATAAGCCAGAGAAGTGTGGAAATCTGAAAAAGTACAAAAAAAAGTTAAAGTCTGTTTGGAGTGTTGAACTGAAGTTTCAAAATGTGAGAAATGACTAACCCCATGGGCTAATACCTTCCTCAATTTACAATAAATGCAATTTACTGATATTTGTGCACACTTCGGCACTGGCTATCATGCAAACCCAGAAATAAAATGGTGCTGTTAGAGGATAAAGTAAAAAAAAAAGAAGAGGGACAGCACTGACAAATATTTTAGCAATGAGAGTACTTCTTCCTAAAAGTTTGGTCCATATTAGGCTATAATATAAAACATAGTAACAAGTCGAAATCTATTTTTGTGTTTGTGATATAATTATTTTTTTTCTGCACAATGCAAGTAATTAGAGCATATTTTTAATTTCACTATTCCAGTGCTGAACAAAAACATAAAAGTGTGTGTCTTTGCTTTGGGTGGATGTCTCTTTCAGATGTGAAAAGGGATGAGGTTTTACTTCTTTTGAGTCTTAAAAATATAACAAACTTTAGGTAATTTTTGCTGATGCTTGTAATCCCTCATCTGTATTTGCATATCCCTTAAGATGTTAATTGTGTCGATGACTTCATAATATATAAGAGAGCTATATGTTGTCTTGGTTATCATATTTTAAAAACATTATGATTCATGCCAAAGAAAAGGCTCAGTTATAGCAGAGACCTCATAACGTTTCTGTGACACCTGTTTACCAAGTTGCTATTGAAGCACGCTCTGTTCAAATTATTCTTATAATGCAAATAAATAAAGATTTCAACCATGTCTTTCTGCATCTATCTTGTTCCTTGGAATCTTTAGTATGCTTTTCAAAGTCCTTACAGAAATAGACTCTAACCTACAGGAGAGGCTTTTTGATTTTAAATACGTTTTTAAAAATAACATGTCCTGCCATTTCTAATTACATTAATATATACGCGTCTAATATGAACATGACAAGACTTATTAAGTGGCCTTACAAACGCATCAGTAATGCCAAATGCTTCTCACCCGCATTTTCATAGTAAATTGTTGATTTATAAATTCCTCGTCTGTGCATGTAGGATATCTGTTTCAGAACATTCATATTAACTACGTATTTTGTTATGTCAAGGTCAGGCTTGTGTTATCTCTTGCACCATGTTTCAACGTGAAGAGTGGTTAAATCAAATGCACACCCTCTATGACAAACTCCTCTGCACTAGCGCCATCTGGCGTTATTGAATCAAGTAAAACAGAAAAAAGAAAGAAAAAACAAGCGATGTAAATGCTAATATGAGACCCAACTTTATAACTAGACCATCTTTCAGAGTATGTTTGGCTATTCTATCGAATAAAGTGATGTATGTTTTCCAAATAATTTATTTTGTCTTATTGTTTGTTTATTTGAACTGATGTCGAGAGGCATTCTAAATACGAGTTTTACCTCTAAAACAGTTTAACCTTTTACATTTTCTATATTTTATTTAATTCATCCACCATAAAAAAAGACGTACTTGCTCACTAAAATCACATTTTCACACATTGATCAATAGATGGAGCTGTTCTAATATATCTTTCTCGCAGTCACGGTGGCCGAGAGGTTAAGGCGTTGGACTCGAAATCCAATGGGGTTTCCCCGCACAGGTTCGAATCCTGTTCGTGACGATCTTTATTTTTTGCAAAACTTACGATTATTACTTATTGAAACCACACCAAAGGGTCGAACAAATTGTTGTGTGAATATGTTTATTCACTTTTTTATTCTTACAAGAAAATGCACATATTCGGCTGTAGAAGCATGTTTGATTTCATTTCTTTCCCTGTTTAATATGTTAATTTGAGTGAGTTGTGTTTCAATTTAGGGGGAAGTTTCGCGTGCGAAATTCCGCAAAAATTAATCGCCGTATAAAGGCCTGGCACAATCAGTCATCTAAACACGAGGCAGTCTGAGGTGGCTGGCAGTGTGGGTTTGAGCAAATTTGAACGGAATTTCTTTCTCTTGTTTTAGAATGGCAAACTCGTCGTCAAACGAAAATGTGTGTCTGATTAAAGATCTTAAACCTGGATTGAAAAACATTAACTTGGTTTTCATCGTCCTGGAAACTGGTAAGTCAAACTTGCTTGGGAAACGTTTGCCTTTTTTGTTTGTTGTTTTATTTACAGCGAAACGCGGCCTACACGATTGCTTGCTATCCTCATTTTTAATAACGCCAGTCGTCTGTTCAAGTAATCTGAGAAGAATATCATACAACCCTTCGGTTTCATAACCGAAACAAAAAAGAGCACGTAGTAGTTTTCACGTAGCGAATCCGTGAACAAAGCATTCTTATGAGTTTGATCTTTTCTGTGAATCGGTTGAACGACAAACCCGTCCCGTTCTAAACAAATCGTTCACGAATCGAACTGAATCGACTCGTGCGGTTCTCGAATCACCATCCGAAATGGCTCACTTTATTTCGTTCAATACTTGCTGATATATCGCCATGTGAATTAGTGAATGTGTGAACGAGTGAGCAATTGTGGAGACAGCTGTAGCGTTGTTTTATATGTAAATTAGTTTTAATAGGCCGGTTATGTTTAATGAAAACTCTTCAGATCTTCTTTATGCACCAAGAGTAACACTCCAAAGAGAAAGGAAAAATTGAAATCGCATCATATGACCCCTTTAATTAACTTGCATCCAACAGTTTTTTTTTTTATGAACCGGTTCTTTGAAACTAACTGAAAGAACTGATTAATGGAAATAGTTAGATAACTAATTCCCCGAAACAACTCACCTACTGTACATTTCAAGTATGGTCCATCTATGTGCTTCTTGAACAAAATGTGTCAGGTCGAGTATCTAAGACAAAGGATGGACACGAAGTGCGTTCATGTAAAGTAGCTGACAGGACCGGAAGTATTACCATATCAGTGTGGGATGAAGTGGGCAGCCTGATACAAACTGGAGACATCATCCGACTCAATCGAGGGTGACAGTTTATTATTGATGATATTATTAATCCTGATAATTATATGCATCTTATATAGAAGGTTTTGATTTGTTCTTTATTATTATGGTGTTATTGGATTTCAGATATGCATCTCTCTTCAAAGGCTGTCTTACACTGTATATTGGGAGAACGGGGGACCTTCAGAAGACCGGAGAGTAGGTCTTCACAGCTGATTGAATTTAAGTTCTTTGACACCAAAACGATAACGACAATAACCAGCACTTTCTTGCATCTATCGAAGGTTCTGTATGATTTTCTCAGAGGTGCCAAATTTCAGTGAGCCCAACCCAGAGGTGCTGGCTAAAATCAATCAAATAAACAACACCCACGTGAGTGCAAAAATACTGCTCAGAGGGCATGAACAGTTTGAGCACATATAAATGAGTGTCTATTTTATCTCTTAACAGGTAAAAACAGAAGCTCATGGCAGCACTCCCAGTATACCGAATCCTGGGCCTCCTGCTGGACCTACAGGTTGAACCTTTACAAGCTTGAAATATTGTTTGATAAAACGAATATTTGTTGCAAATGATCATGTTTGATTTAACTTTTCTGTTGCTATCCCAGTAATCCAGTGGTTCTCAGCCAGGGGGCCTCAGCATACTTCCAAGGGCGGTGCAAGATGGCTTAAAAATAATATTAAAAATAAGACAAAACAAGGTTTAAAATAAGCTAAAACAGCTAGGAATCAAGATGTAAGCTAAAATCATATTTCTTATTTTAATTTGTTCCTTTAAAACTGTCATTTTTATTTATTTCATCTGGGTTCTAAAATAAGTGCATGTAGATTTGTTCTACATTTGTTCCACAATTGTTCTTCCTAAGTAAATTAAAATAACAATAATGATAATAAAAAATTTAAAAAAAAAACATGTAAACACAAATGACTAGAAAATGCTTAAATAGTTCAATGGTAATGAAAAGCAAAACCCAGAAGAACTTTCAGTTATCAAATGTGTTATAATAATTGTACTTATTTAAATATATTAGGATAATGTATTATTCTAGTTTCTGTAAATAAAAAAGTTTCAAAATGAGCAGCTTTGTCATTACAGCAGAAGTTTCAGAAATGGCTTTTCTGTGCCTGCTCAAAATTCAGTGTAAAGGTTCAGTGCAGCATAAAAGCCATACTAAGTAATGCCAGCTGTGACCCACTTCAGCTTCTACTATAGTATCAAAGTATACAGTTGTAATTGCTGTGTAAATTCATTTATACCACCTCTAAGCAGCATTAAACAGTGTGTAAACATCTAAATGCCCCTTCACAAGCGCTCCTGTGCCACCTTTGTAGTGTAAATTTGGCATCAGATTGTCTTAATGGATGGTTCTTGGCCAGAATAAGCTGTAATATGGACCATCCTCTGTACCTCTCACAGCAAACGACTCTGCTGTGTTTTCCCCTTCTCCTGTCCCCCGAGAGCCCTCCTATGGTGCAGGTGGGCGTCATTTGAACCGCAGTCATTGGAACAGCGGCAGTGCTTCTCCAGTTCCAGGTGGAAGACAGGGATCAAAACCCACGGTCACCATCACCAATGGACGGGATCCTCGCCACGCCCTGAAGAGATGAGAACATGAAAATTATATTTCAGTATCAGAGACAATGCTGTTTTGTATTTATTTTTCTGTGTTTATTTTTTAACAAATCTTCTGTTTGCTTGTTAGTTTGTTGGTTGATTGATGGGTTAAGGGTTATTTGATTTATAAATTAGATCAACTTTTTTTCTGGAATGATGAGAGGGCATTTTGCAGAATATGTGTATAAATAAAGTCAGTTTAAATCGTTATGTCATGCTTGTCATATTTGTGCTTTCATTGTAAGTCTATGAAATCATATGGTTATCTTCAGTTTTTCCAGTTGGTTGATACAATCTCAAATATTACAATAGAATATGGCACTAAGGACTTTCAGTATCGATAATTTGTCACTCAATGATTTTTCAGTGCTAGTAGAACTTTTATACGATCTTAACAGTGATCTGCTGTCTTTATTCCAAGATTTTTCAGAACAAAACTGAGGTGAGAATGACCTCTAGTGGTAATAATTTTAAGCCGCAGGTTCCATATTTTTTATTTTTCTGTGTAAAAAAAAAAAAAAATTCTGATTACATCGCTGCAAGTGCTTATGCCAGCTACAGTTGTATTGCATTGTGCAGGGTTAGGGTATAATGCCCCCCTGTAATTAATGCCTTAGAGCTGAGTATCACTCTGGACACTATTTTTAAATGTATTACTCATTAACAAACGTCTTCAAAAACAAATATCCACAGTAATTCCTCCATCCATCCATAACCAGCCATGTGTTTCCATCAGGATACTTGTTCAGGACGCAAAGACCTCTTAGTGAAGTTATTCGTAGTCGAGTTCGTGGTCACAAGGATCAATGGCACAGATGAACTTTAATTATTAAAATAATCCTGGCCTGTCTCTGCTCTCTTGGCCACATAGCAGGCTCATAATTGTATGGCTGTGGTCCATTATACGAGTATGAATAAACATTTACAATGTCCTCAGCGTCCAAACTGCCCTTACGATCCATTGTTTCCCTCCCCTTACGTCACTTCCGGTTTTGGCGTTTTTCAAATGCGGAAGTTACATTTACTCACAAAACGACTCCAGAAGCCTCAAGTAGCGTATTTATAAGTATATTTTAAACAACATCTAGTTCCTATATTATTCTTCTAACCTGATTAGTGGGTCAATTAGGTCTCTATAACTGCAATACCTAACGTTACTTTAAGAGCAAAAGGATACCATCCACATGGCCGTTTGAATGGCCCATTACCCAGCATGCAATTGGAGCTGTCTCCAGTGTTAGTGAAATCAAAATCAAAGCGTGGGTCGAAGAATTCACCCATGCCCACAAACATTTCCTGACGTAGGCTACATCTGAGATGAAACTTGCCACTTTCGCTTGGTTTGAAAGTAGCAGTTGATAGGCCTTTAAATATTTGCCCAAAGCAATTGACAACGTATGTATACTGTTAAGTAGGGGCGTCATGCACTCATTATTTTTGAGGGGGCATGAGTGGGGGTCGTCATATGCAGCCGCAATAGCACTCATGTTTTATTTTTATTTTTTTTCCCTTTTTATTCGAAACATTCCCAAAGGCATAACTAACCTATATCATGAAATATCTCGATTCTCACCTTTATAGATTATGTTAGTTGCTCTAGAGTGGGCGATGGTCAAAGTAGCGTAATAATGTAGCCAATTTCAGTGTTTGCAAACAGTGATTACGTTTTTGTGGGCGGGGCCTATCTGGTGGCAGAAAATGACAGTTTTAACGTAGCAGTCTATTCAAGCCATGGAATAAAATAATAAAAAATGTAATTTTTAGTTTATATTTCAAAATTCTGACTTTTTTCTTGCAATTCCGAGATTATATCTCACAATTCTGGTAAGAAAAATCAACTCGTCATTCTTTCTTTTTAGTTTATAATCCCACACTTCTGGCTTTTTTTCTTCAGAATTGACAAACTCGCAATTGTTGACTTGTTGACTTTAAAATAAAGTTATAAAGTCCGAAATAGGAGATATAAACTTGCATTAGCAAGAAAAAAATCAGAATTGTGAGATAAAATAGGTAAATGTTACTAAAACCTGTCTGTTTACTTAATTAACAGATATGGGTGTCATGCCATAACATATTTTTAATGCGTCTGACTTTATATTTAATGTGAATTTAACATTGAAAGTTAGTGTGAATAAAAACATTGTAAGTTAGGCTACTTATCATAACACTTTCATTGTACAAGAAAGAGAGCAAAGAACATTATCAAAGAACATTTTCACTGACAGTCTAGAGTTCAAGCAATCTCAAAAACTCCCATTAAAATCACTGAAGCTGTTTACACTATGAAATTAATATCTTACAGATTCATACACACATCTGCAGTTTGTTGTTTCTAACGAGAGAATTCGCCAGAAAGGTATTCAGACAGCGAGCGAAAGAAAACACCGGCATTTTAGCGATGACTCATCTGAACGCCTCTGATTGGCCATTGCATTCATAAGCTCAACAGAATCGTGTGTGATTGGTTATAATGCGCAGTGCTGTAAAAACGCGTCTGGCTCAGCGCCAGTGCAGCGAACGCAGATTTGAATTTAGCAGCTGATGATGTGATGCACTGAACGATTTTATCATGCTGGTGTGATTGTATCAAATATAGAAAATATTATTCGGCTTTTTTTTGTCTTTTGGAAGCTGCATTCAAACTCTACGTGGCTCAAAAATCTGAGGGGGCACGTGAATGGGCATGACGCCTCTGCTGTTAAAGTCCCCATGAAATCAAAATTAAAGTTTTTTGGGTGTTAGTATCAATATGTTAGTCTTAAAGGGGTCATATGATGCGATTTAAATTTTTCCTTTCGTATTTTCTGTACAGTGAATGGCACGTAGTGCACTATATAGGGGACAGGGAACGATTCAAACAGTGTAAATATGCTTTCCATTGAGGAAAAAAAGAAGTCTGGTTTCGCGCTGTCACGCTAACCACCGCACCGCACACACACTCTGCTCCGGTCCAGAGACACGATAGCACGGAGCGGATCACATGCGCGAGTCGGCGCAGACCACAAAATGTATCGGAGCTATTTGAATTCTACACAGAATGCTATATTTCAAACTGATTTGGAAATTTGAAATGTTCTTGATTCGCCATAAATGGACTCCCTTTGACAACCAGGGAGTGGTTACTTTTGAAATAAATCAGATGTCTGGAATATTTAACACAATTTAACACAACACAATAACTAGTTTTAGTTTCACTTTTTGAATAAACCCAGCACTATTTAGCTGTAGTCCTCTGCTGATTATTGTAATATTATATTGTATGATTAAAAGATGGATGTTAAATAAAGCAACAAACCAACAACTTCTTTAAAAAAAAAAAAATAGATGGATTGGGGTTTGAGAGTGTGCTGTACTTCCAGACAATAGCATGTTCATCAGCATTTTCCATTCAGTGAATTTTTGTTCTAGAACAAGGTAATGAAAGTGTTACATGGTTTTTACACAAGCATAGCTCCTTTTGCTCAGTGTAACAGTATTACCTTCATGACATAATAATAAAATGGCATTTCTCGCAAGTATGATGTCTTGTTTAATCTATCAAAAATGTTATAAAATTAGTGTTTAGAGCTTTTTTTTTTTGCCTCAGCAAACAGAGATTTTGTGATCATATCAAATGGATTAAAAAACATGCGTTTAATATTCAGAGTTTTATACAGTAACCTGCAGTCACATGTTAAATTCTTCAGAAAAGAGATGCAATATACTCTAGCCCGAGGGGGAAGTGATGTATGATTTCTCAACCTGGGCAAGGTTCAACCTGATTTACAATGACGCATATTTAAACACATTACATGATGGTAAACGAAAGTACGGATATTTCCATTCCAGCCAAATCAACATATTTTTAGAATGTGTGTTGGTTTTAAAATCACACGGCTAATGAAACCTCAGGGAAGATGTACTTCCTGCACGCAGTACAAGTAAAATCCACCCAATAAAATATTATTTGACAGAACAGATCCTTTCATTTTGTATTTTATTTGTTTATTTATTTTTTTTTTATAGATGGATTCTAATGTATTAAAAATAGGGAATATCTTTTAAAAATTACTAATAAAAAAGAGTTTAAGACTTGTTTAATATTCTGAACATACACAATGACAACTGTAGCCTATACTTCACTTTTAGTGTTTCATTCTACATTCTTCAGATGTGTTTCCTGTAAATTACTACTGATATTTTGCATTTGTTCAAACGGTGTATGTTCATTGTATCTGTGAGAGTTTTTGGTGCACATTTTCTAAGTAGACCTCAAGAAGAAGAAAAAAAACAAAACTTTATACATCCTGTGTCTTGTGCACATCTGCAAGTGTTAGTATGCCACCTGGACAATGTTGTACACTGTAAAAAAAATTCCGTAAAAGTTACGGTAAAAAACCGGCAGCTGTGGTTGCCGGAATTTTACCGTAAAAAATACGGTAGCAAAGTTTTAGGTTTTAACTTAAATTTACAGTTAAATACCGTAATTTCATTAACTGATATAATGTTAATATACCAACCTATTGAAGTACTGAAATCTGTTTTGTACCTTTTGTAATACACTGATAACCACCAAATGCAGATGGTGATGAGAAAGTCACATGATGAACCAAAGCCCATCACAAGCAGCTTTTAAATAATAACATATATAGAAGGTGCACAGTGTCATTCACACAAACACTAAACACCATCATGGTAACACACATGAAACTGAAATAATGCAATAAACATTCATTTAACAACATTAGGTGTAACACACAACCCTAATATACTAAACCGATAAGAAAAAACTAAGAAGAAACATAGTTATTTCAACAAAAAAACATCAAATTTGAAATGTAACGCAGGGAATTCTGGGAATGTCAATTTACGGTCATTCACTGTAAATTATACGGTATTTTTCACTTCCAAAAAACGGTATACTACCGTAAAATTTATGTCCAATACATGTAATGTCCAATACAGTTTTTCACCGTATATAGTAGGGGAATTTACTGTTAACCATTTAACAGGTTTTTACTGTAGCATTTTTACAGTCTTTTACCGTTAAATTCACGGTCATTTTTTACAGTGTATATCAAACAGTCATTCAGATACTGTTAGGGCAATATTTAAAACTACTTTTAATGCCATATATTAAAATGAATCAGCAAAGGCTACCAACCCTTATCCTCTATATCACATCATATTTCCATAGAAAATTAACAGATAAG